TTTTTCAAATATTTCCAGGATCGGTTTTGGGAGGATTCATTTATCTTCGCGACTTGCACTCTTGTTAAATTCAAATAAACTGAGGTTATTTCGAACAAATCAATCAATTTCTTTATTCCTCATCATAGGTCATAACATGATAGAGTGTACAGTCTTATATAGTACAGCTATGATGCACCTTTTACAGGGTCATACGAAAATGTATGTCCAATCTAATCTTAATTTATGAAATATTAAATTATAGATTACAAGGTCAACTAATAAACCTATTGAACGTCAGAAGAAAATTTAAATTCAATCTCGTATTTAATATTCAATTGTAAGCATGTACATTATAATTCACACTATATCGTCATTCAAATATTCATCAACCGTACAAAAAATCTTTATTGTATTGTAAAAGGAAACATAATATACAATACAATTAAATTAAAAATAACCAGTTCGTTGTAGAGTTTAGGCACCATGTTAATGGCGCTTTTTTTCTTAAGAGCTGTTTTACAAGAGATGGTGCCAGTGGTGAAATGTAGCGAAAACAAATGTAGTGACTTGACTGCAAGTTCTCTACTTTATTACAAGTTTTGCGGGTCGCAAGCCTAAAAGGCGTGCAAAAGATGAGGCCTATACTCAACGGTGGGTGGGTGTTAACGAGCTGAGATGATGATAATGATTACAAGTAAAGGTGGGTGTTTAAACAAAAAGCACTAAAAAAGCTTTCTTTTTAAATATGCACATAAGCACGCTTTTCAATTTAAGCGTAAGCGTTGGTCAGAACAATGCTCAACAATTTGATTTTTTGAAACGTGCTTTTGTTTCAAGTCCTTAAAACCTTTAGTGGTTTACTCTTGCTTTTCGCTATTAACACAACATTGCAAGCTTTTTTTAACTAACTACGCGTTTTAACTAACTAACGTTTGAACTAAGCGTTCAAACGTTTTTCTAAACGATTTTGTAAGCTTCAAATTAAAAAACGTTTAAGTGAAAAGCGTTTAAAAAAGTACGCTTTTTTAAAAAAAGCACAACGTTTAAACGTTTAAAAATATAAGCAGTTTTTCCCATCTCTAATTACAAGTTATTTTGAATTTAGGTGGTTGATTTATCATACACAAGATCAAAAAGGTGCGACCATATTATTATAACTTCTGGCCATGTATGATGTGTGTGGTCAATCCGATATTTATTTGAAAAAACATTACGATTTAGGGGCACAACATGGAAGTTATTTTTATGACTTCGATTACCAAGTTGTGCACCCTGTATAATATTAAAAAAAACCTTGATTATAATAGGAAATGAAACTATTTTTCCGGACTTAAATCGCGTATATTTGTTTTTTCTAACAAACAGTCAACCGTGACCATGGGAACTGTAAAGGGCCCGAAACGTCGGTTTGTTGGAAAAAACAAATATGCGCGATTTAAATCCGGAAATATAGTTTCATTTCCTATGTGTAACAATCGCGAAAACCTAAGAACTCGAACTTTATTCTAATTTAATTGTTGTAAAAAACAAACTATAAATTTAAATGCAAGCAAAGCCACGTGTCGGGACGAGTACAACACGTGTATGCTACTTAATTACATAACGCATCGTTTATGCTTTTGATAATGTCTATTATAATAGATATGTATACAATGATTATGTGGTAGTATTAACAAACAAATACAATAAATTGTTGAATTTAAAAAGACGTTAGATGGTATTTTTAATTTTTTTTTTATGATATACACATATATATATTTATAACATAACAGTTGCAGTGCCACTAAGTGCTTTAAATCTCAAAGATCTGAGGGGTATTGCCACTGCGTCCATCACCCTCACACATAAGTTGACAAGTCCCATGTCCCTGTAATTTATAATTAAAGTTTTTAAAATTAACTTAATTAAGTGGCCGAACGGTTACCATGCTGTACTGCCACGCAGAAGTCCCGGGTTCGATACCCGTGCTGGAAGAAATATTTATATGGCCTACATTTATTTCTCTCGTAACTTCAGGTGTAATTTGTGGTTGTCTATGTGTGTGTCCATGGCACCCGCGGTACAAGGTTTCCCTAGACGCTATAAGTGTGTGCGTTAAAAAATACATTAACACCCTTACCCGTCAAAATCGAAACACAGTAATGCTCATATTACTGCTTGGCGGCAGAAATAGTAAGGTGGCAGTACCTCCCTGGACGAACACTTTTACAAGGAGCTCTACTGCTAGTAGTTTCCTGTAAAAAGAGGATTTGTAACGTTGTCTACCGCCCAGGTGCAATGAGGATAGCGAACTTCTACTAATTTACAACTTTGCAGGTTTCTTTCATTCTAAAACCAATTAGTATTTATAGTTAAGACTGCATTTCGTAAAGATTCAGCATGCATTCTCTTAACAAAGCCATAACGAACTCTGACACCCAGAACACACAAGAACCTATTATTTAATATAATATGTAATACTTTATTATGTAATATAACGCCGCGGAAGCTGATGACTAAAGGCCACGGGCTGGATCGAAGCATATCAAGCTAAAATACGACTTAAATACATGTGTTATCCATTATTTTAGTGTGACGATGCGACCTCTTTCATCCCACCTTTTCATCACCATGTTCTCTGGTTCCTGGCCACCTCGTTTGAAATTTCCAATCGTTCTTAAATTCCTTTTCTTCGTCACTCTTTCAAGCACACGTGTTCACCTTCATAAAAAATTCTGATCTGTTATACCATTGAAAATCATGTAACCTAACTACATATATAACGCAGTATTTGTACGAATACAGGCCCTTTTGGGGTAAGTTTGCTTATGTTAAATGTTAATCCGTTGTAAGGGAGTGTGATCACAGCGCGGAGATCAAATGTAGTATAGAATAAGCACGTAACGCGTTTCTAAAGTTGAGTCATCTACTCTGCAATCGATCCTTGAAGATCTCTACCAGGGTGCGTTTGACGCGTTGCTACCTGTTTTCGGTTCTTCTGTATGACGTAGAATTCTGGACGTTAACTTAAAATATGAGCAACCGCTTAGAAGCCTTTTATATGTGGGTCTACAGAAGAATTTTAAAAATATCGTGAGCACAGATAGTGAATGAGAAAAGAGGTCTTGAGTACTGTCAAAAAACGCAAACTACAGTACTTTGATCATGTAATGCGTAATGATAAATACTACCTACTCCGACTAATGCAAGGAAAGATACAGGGAACGAAACCACCTGGAAGAAGGCGTACTTCGTGGCTTACGACTCTCCGGACATGGTTCAACCTGAGCACAAGATCCTTGTTCCGTGCAGCTGTGTCTAAAATTCCGATAGCCCTAATGATAGCCGACCTCCGGTAGGAGATGGCACCTCAAGAAGAAGGGAGTGTTTTATACCATTGTATCTGTTTTTAAATCGTTATTTTATTTTATTACAGTCTTTACGCCTTTGCTTTACCTGTTCTTTTCTTTTCATGTACCTTCTCTTTCTTTATTTCTACAATAAATTAATATGGTCCGAGCTTCTATTTAATTACGCGAGGCCCGCGTGACATTAGTTAATATGTCTGAGTCTCAAGGTATATAAGAATCTATTGTTGATACAAAAATCGTACAAGCATAAAGAAAATCCCTTCCAGACCAGGGTTTCTTAACCTGGTCCACGGACCCCTAAGGAGTCCGTGTAATGAACGCCAATCTTCACGGCAAACAGTTGTAGTAGCAGTAGAGGTTCTTGTGAAAGGGTTCCTCCCGGCAAGTACTGCCACCTTACCTATTTCTGCCGCCAAGCAATAATGTGACCATTATTACGTTCCGGTTTGGAAGGCCAAGGGTGCAGGGGAAATTCTGACTTGTCAATTTATGTCTCAGGGTGACGTGCACGATGGCAGTGCTCCTAAGATCTTTGCGATTTAAAGCTCTTAGAATCGCAACTGTTAAGGATAGGCGTGTTGCTTACAAATAACCTCAGTACAGAGTACTAAAAAACTGACCTCAAAAGTACGTGGAATTATTTTTTGCCAAGTTTTTTTGAAATCGCTTACCGGAAAGAGCGCAAACGAAGAATGAATCCGGATTCATCCCCTAGTTCGCCACTATACGGAACTTGACACAGGAGATAATAAAAATCGGTTCTCACTCAAAGTATATTGAGAGAAAAACGCCTTGAATAAGAGAATAGCAAACTCAACCATTAAAATAATTGTTCCTTATAATAAAATTAGGCGCTATTTATAAAAATGAATATTCATGCATGAAAAGCCACTCTTAGAGGTCGATGATTTTCTTCAAAATTAAATGGGACCACTATGGAGATACCTTTTTCCAACCAAAAAAAAGAATCATGAAAATCGGTGCACAAATACCGGAGTTATCGCGTAACATACATACAAAAAAAACTAACAGTCGAATTGAGAACCTCCTCCTTTTTTTGAAGTCGGTTTAAAAAATCTACGCACGTGGTCGCTACATAATGCGCTGCAATGGCGCAGTAGCCGAATCAGCATCCTGAATGGTGTGTTAACCAGATTCCACATTCTCGACATAATTACACCAGACTCGCCTAATACGGGAGTATAGAGCTAGGTTTCTTGACCTGTGGTCCATGGCCCCTAAGGTGTCCATGTAATGAAAGCCGGGGGACCATGGCGAGCCTACCTAACATAATGGAACAGCAACCGTCGCACTAACTATTCCTATGTAATTAAGTAAAGTTTAATGGTAAACAATATAAGCTAGTAAAAGCTAAACTTAGTTTTTTATCGTTTCGGAAAGGTTAAGTGGGCTCTTTGACATTTTGAGATGGGTCCATAACTAAAAAAAGGTTAAGATAACTTTTTCTCGACCACGGTAGGTCACTGGATCGAGTCCAGTCGCATCGAAGGAATTTTGTGGAGTATTTCCAGAAAAAAAATTATATCGTGATAGTAATAACATCTTAATATTAAATAAAATAAATATCACATAAGAACCGTTAATAATGTTAATGTTTAACCACCATTTAAAACGTAACATGACCTAACTTTTTATCTTTGTTGCCAGGAGCGTTCCTGATACCCTTCCTCATAATGCTGATACTGGAAGGGATTCCCCTCTTCTTGATTGAGATGGCCATCGGTCAGAAGATGCGGCTTGGCTCCCTAGGCGTGTGGAATACGATTCATCCATGGTTGGGAGGAATTGGAATATCGAGCTGCGTTGTGACTCTTTTTGTGGCTCTGTATTACAATGTCATCATCACTTGGGTCTTCTTCTATCTTTTTAACAGTATTCGGGTAAGTTGAATCTATTTTATAAGATTATATGTGGTTACATTGAAATTTTTTAATACGTTAAGTCTCTAGCGTGCCAAGAGGCTTATACGTGATTCGGAATTAGTAGTGGCGAAGCTGCAGAGCCTTGAACACCGCCGTAAAGTTGCCTACTTATCGGTATTCTATAGGATATATCACGGAAAGTGTGCGAGGGAATTGAACGAATTAATTCCGCCTTCCCCTCTCCATCATCGGGGAACCAGACGTATGCTGAGGTTCCACCCCTATGTTGTGGATATTCCAAGAATTTGCACGAAGCTTTTCACTTTTACATTTATATGGCGCACGGCTATGGAGTGGAATTCCCTGTCTGCATGCTTGTTCCCTGAACGGTGTAACTTGGATCATTGAAAGGCGAGAGAGAATGGACACTATTTAGGTGTGCGTGCTCCAACGTCAATTTCCATCAGGTGAGATGGAAGTCAAATGCGCCCTTATATTTTAATAAATAAAAAAGACCGACACTGTCAAAAGAATATAGCTCACATAAAACTAAGCTAAGAAGTAGCAAGGCCGTATCGTTTAGATGAAGGCATAGCCCATAAGGACTACACCTCAAACGTAGTCGACTGAATTTACCTGTGATAGAACTCGTTTATAATAAAATCACATTTTTCACCAGCTGACAGCGGACCAGCTTCCCTGGGCTCACTGTCCCGCAGACAACAGCAGCCGTGAAATCGAATGCAACAAGGCTTCAGCTACGGTCTACTTTTGGTACCGCGAAGCATTGGACGCGTCTCCCAGCATTGAGGAACCGGGAGTGCCAAGATGGTGGATCGTCTTGTATCTGCTGCTCGCCTGGTGCATTGTCTTCTTCATTGTCATGAAAGGCATTCAAAGTAGTGGAAAGGTGTGTATTTTGAACTAATTCAAGTTATATTTTGATATTTACCTAATGTGACCATCATTTTTTCCTTCAAGGCGGGACGAGTGTAAATTTATCATTGTTTTAAAAATTTAACGAATTTAGCTACGAAATGTATAACGATTAAATAAAGTGAAAAAAAGAATTTGAAATATTTAATGATCAAAAATTATTTATATGATATAAAACAAGAACTAATCTAGTGTAGTCTGGTGGGCTGGTTTTATACATTTTTCGGACAAATTTGCTTTAATTTGTCAGGTTTAGTTTTTAAATACGTTCCACGGGACGAAACCGGCACCACCACCGATTGATTCCCGCCAAAAAACGTGGGTAGCTTTATATGTAGTTATATCTTTCTAATTTGTGAACACAACTATGTACCTAAATGGCGCGGGCGACATGGCTTACTTGCTGCAACGCTTTCGCGCCATTATTTTAAATTTATTGTCACTTGTGTCCTATTTAGTCAAAACGGGATATTTTTAAGTATTTTGGAAACAGTGGGACACATTAACATTGAAAAATAGCGCTACCCTTTCGGCGACCAAACATACTCACATAATTGTCCCAGTTAATTTAAGAATTTATATATATAGGCTATAAAATGGTAGAAGATTCTGAAGCAGAAAGTTGTGAGATAAAAATTCATGCTCAGAAGGCCATCTACGTTTCCCTTTTGAATAGCTTAACTTATCCTTTGACAGAATTAACTGCTAGCCTTTTGGTCACCGAAAGCCAAGGTCACCTGAATGTTCATTAGCGAGCAGGTTTGCCTGTACTCCACAGAACCCAAGGGTTTCTTCTACAAAACACATTAAGCTGTAGCACGGGCTAAGGTGGACGGAAGCCTTTTGGAGATTTCGGCTGCTCTGGTTGCGAAGCCTACGCTACAGCACAATACACTTCAAACCATTAAAATATTGCAGGTTGTCTACTTCACATCGCTGTTCCCGTATGCTGTGCTGACGATTTTTTTCGTGCGCGGGGTTACGCTCCCAGGCTCCTATGACGGCATCATCCATATGTATAAACCGAAGGTTGGTCCTAAACTTTTAGGTAGGGTAGTATATATATATATATATGTAGGTGGAGTCTCCGATAGGTTTGTGCGGAGCTTTTAAGACCAAGTATAGTCCACACATTACTCCACAGTCAGACACAGTACTTGTAGTCCGAATAAATTAATAATGATATATCTGGCATATGAATTGAAGTCAAGTGAATTTCATGTATTATGTTAAAATATCTCAGCTTTACTTCTAAAAAAGGAGGAGGTTCTAAATTCGACTGTGTATTTTTGTGTATGCTTACTCTGACATTTCTGAACCAGTATCAATGATTGTTTTCTTGTTGTAAAGAGGGTACCTCAGTAGTGGTTTCATTCAAATTTGAAGGAAATATTCCACCTCCAAGGGTGGCAAATTAGGGGATGGACCAGGATTATTGGGTTTCACCCATATTTCGTAAACAGATTTCAATAAAACTTGCCATATAGATGTACTTCCACAAAATTTTAAAGTCGGTTTTTTTATTCTTATTTACTCTTTCGTTGTATGGTAGAGAGACATGGATATATAACAACATAGACAGACAATAATAATAATGTTTATTTTATTTATTTATTCATGGAAAACCAACAGCTTCTTACATTTAATAAAAACAGGGAAAGAAAATTATAGCCAATTACAGGTTTCCTATAGATTCAGACAAATAATACACGAGCATTAAACAAACGAAAATTAAACAGTATTTCTTAACAACATGCACTTACATAAATACAACAACCCAATTCCTGCGGTAATCGCAAATTATTCAATAAAATTAAATAAAATGTCCGTGAGTTTACGCTTTAGCTTTATCAACACTAAAATTGAATACATCAACAGTCGATCATGATTGCTCAGTACACTTTACAAGCTCTTGCTAGCTCTACATAGAAAACTATTTTGTCTATAGTTAGTCCTCGCTAAGAAAACTGCAATAGGGTAACAGTGTCTCATAGAACGACTAGGTACAAAGAAATATCATCCAGTAAGTCAAAGCAGTCAACATTACCATTTATAATGTTTAGAATATACGCTATATTCAAGATTTTTCGGCGAATATTTAAAATTGATAGATTCATATTCTTACAGAGACGTGTGTAGTCGCATGAATTATACGACTTACTCATTTTATAGCATAAGAACATTGACAGTCAATGCATAAGAATGTAATAAATTTATTTTGGACTCATTCAATTCTGTCGATATATACTTGGTATTTCGGACTCCAGATTTGGGAAGCATATTCTAACTTACTATGTACATACGCACAATACGATATTCGTAAAGTTCTTGGCCGTGAGAAACAGACTGCGTTATGCGTATGACTTAGTAACCTTGGAGGTAACATCATCAATATGAGTCATGGACCAGGTAATGTGTCAGGTAATCACACTATTAGCTGGTCTCAAACTAGGGATTCATAGTATAGATACTATGAGTATCATAGCATCGAAATTCAGGTCGAGGGTAGAAATAAAAAAAATATTTTACACCCTCTATAAATTTCTACTTCCCGCATTTTATTTATGTGTATTTAATTTCAACATTTCAGCTAGAAAAACTACTAGATCCGACAGTCTGGCTAGACGCAGCAACTCAAGTCTTCTACTCCTTCGGTCTAGCCTTCGGGTCTCTTATTGCTTTCGGCTCTTACAATCCACCGAACAACAACTGCGTAAGAGATGTATTACTGGTCTCCGTTTGTAATGCGCTTACGGCCATCTACGCGTCCGTTGTCATCTTCAGCATTCTTGGGTTTAAGGCGTTCACTATGGTCGAGACTTGTATTGTCAAGTAAGTTATTTACCTGTTTTACCAGTTTCTCCTGTTGGATGCTAATTTTTTGTGGTGTTTCTGTTTCTATCAAGAAACATTCATCTCCGACATTAATCCATAAACGTCCCGCTAAGCTGCAATAACTCTACTATACCTCCGTATAGAGACTTGGGGGCTTCACACACAACACATCATGCCGGTTTCATCTCAATTCCATCACCGTTAAATCAAATGATATATATCGCAGCCTTGCTGTAATAAGTTCACATCAACAAAATGACCAATTTTGTTTTTCTGTTTGAGGTGAGAGATTTAGAAATTATACGGACGAAATGAGTCCTAACTTTTTTCTGCTTAAATAGGAGAGTTACATAATTTCACATATTCATACTGGACGGAGGCGTAGACCTCGGCATACATATCTCAATCAGATTGAGGGTATCCTTAAAAAAGGTTGAGTTAAAAGTGCCAAGAAGGTACTGATGAGAGTGAAGGAGGTAAAGGAGGTTTGTTAGGAACGTAGCAGTTGGAGATCCATAGTCTTTTTTTTATAATATCAAGTGACGGGACGAACAAATCGTGCGCCTTATGGTAAGCTACACGCCTATGCGTAACAGTGGCAGTGCCACTCAGAGCTTTAAATCGCAAAGGTCTCAGGGGCACTGCTACTGCGTCCGACACCCTGAGACATAAGTAGACAATAACCATGTTCCTGCAATTTCACCAGCACCTTACCCTTCAAAACCGGAACACAGTAAAACTAACATATCACTGCGTGGCTTGGCTCTGTCTACCCAGGGAGAAACATGAGTGATCATATGCATGCATGTATATACATAATTTGTTTCATGTAGTTCATATTATTTTTAAGACCTTCATATGTTAAAAGCACATTTGACGTATGTTGACATGTGGTCTATTACACCAAGGTTATGAATTACTAAAACGAAATTGCACAGTCCATATCAAATATAAAATCCAACGACGGGTCAGAATATTTTGGCGCTTACAACTCAGTTGCACAAAAAATGTTATTTACATGTTTTAAAAGTATGAAAAAAGTTTCTACGTCAAAATTGCAAATTATAGCCCTTTCGAGCTAAAGACTACGGTTTGTTTTCAAGTATATATCTGCAAAAATGCAATTGTTTCTCCTTTACATTTTACCACTTTGTCACTTTACAGCTTTGTCACTTTACCCCAATTGACTATACGAAATTTCGTTTCCAGGGAAACCAAGATCCTGGCGCTACACCACATCGGAAATTTCACTCTCAATTCAACTGCGGAGTACTACAATGAGCATTATCCTCTATTAGCGCCTAACCTGACGAAAGCCCTTAATCTCACTGGGTGTGCGATGAGCAAACAGCTTAATGAGGTAAGATTTATTTAGATTACAATTGGGATTTTGTCGGAAAAGCATGCGCAACAATATACAAACTTAATACATATATAAAGATAAATGTAATTATCACTTAAACCAGTAAAACAAATATGAAGGAGAGCTATGATAACTTTAAAATAAACACTTAAAAAAGATGGAACCTTAATTATTATACAATCATGATTAAGCTATATAATTAAATCTTAGAACACTAACAGTGCCCAAACTATAAGTAAATTAATACCTATGGGTGCTATGACTAACAAGACGCCTAAACATATTTAGGCATCTTGTTTGTGCATACTTTCTTTAATGAGTACCTATGGGTACTCATGTATGCACAAACAAGATGCTTAAATATCTTTAGGCATCTTGTTAGTCATAGCACCCATAGGTACTCATTTACATCTTGTTTGTGCATACTTTCTTTATATTAATGCTTAAAAATATTTAGCATTTATAATAATAAGTAATCAATACAAAAAATATGTTAAATTATTTTACACTGCCACACATCTACGCTTGAATACAAGTCTTCTATCAACTCCTCAATATGATAAAATGATATTTTGAACAAGAGCTGTTTTGAGCTCAGTAGGACTGTTAAATGTTTTAGTTGCTTGATACTTAGGACTTAATATTTTTATATGTTGTTGATTTGTTATTATACCACGCCGCTCGAACTCAGTGTCCACAATATACTCAGATATACAATCACATAGATCTCGGTTTGTTATTCATTCAAATGCCTATGCTTTTGTGGTTTCCTGGTGTTGTTCGGAACAAAAAACGATTGTGTAGTCGGCAAAAACTATCAATTTGACACTAGACAATTTCAAAAAAGTTAAGTCATTCATATAAATGATAAATAAAATTGGGTCCAATATGGAACTCTGTGGTAAACCTAGTTCATCTTGACCTGTGATTATAGAACATGTATGCTTTTCCTAATCAGAAATAAAAATACGCGATCATATGCGATCATTATAAACGCTGGTGATGCGTTACTAAGGTACGATGCACCACAATTACCTATATACATACAATGAATAAGTCAGTCATATTACAGCGACGAATTAGAACCTAAAGACGAATCTTTGTCAACCTCCTTGTGTCAAAGACGTAAACTCGTTTAATATGTTCATCAAAGCGTACAATCATCCACCAGATCACCTAAAACAGGTAAGGGGTCACGATTTTAAAAGCGCTTTGTCGGTTTGGCTAATGGATCACTGATTCTATGCCGTTAGATAGTGTTCAGAATTTAGACATAATATAACATAACGAAAATTTGCACGCCAGCATTGGTTGCATACTACACTGTTGATAATTATATAAGATCATTGATAATTCTAAAAGATAACGTATTCTAGCAAATAAATGTTTTTTAATATAAATATGTAGCGCCATGTGAAACGTGTACATCCATTTATTGTTTTACTCACAAGTAAAAATTTTACAAAAAAGAAACACGAAAAACAGCGAATAAAAGCTATTAAAAGTATTGGCGTCTATCAAAAGATTTAATATCTAATATTTATGCGCAAATTTCGCTGCTTACACTTAAAACTATTAATTTCACAGTTTGACAAATGGAATCCAAATTATCCCGTATTACTGTTTGATTAAACTAGCTATTATGATACGGACATAGGTGATAGGACAATTATTGACCATGCGCGCCGGTAATCTGGTACGTTCTCAGGGTGAAACCAAACGATAAAGCCTAACATTAAAGTTCTTGTATTTCTTTGACAGGCTGCAGAAGGCACAGGTCTTGCCTTCATCGTTTTCACCCAAGCAATCCTGAAACTGACTCCAGCTCCATTTTGGTCGATAATATTCTTCCTGATGCTGCTTTCTTTGGGGCTGGGCAGTCAGATCGGCATTATGGAGGGAATGCTTTGTACCATATTTGATATCGATTTCTTCAAGCGGTTTAGTAAGCCTGTTCTTACTGGTAAGTTTTCCAGAATACTGTCAATATCGCGATATGTAAGAGATATCATAGATATAATTTGAGAATAAAAAAGGACCGAATATTGTGCTCTGCAGAACACCCATGTAACTTCACACTATAACAGTAGCTGTACAAGGTGTAGAAAGTAAATAATTCAAATAACCAAAATAAAAGGACCAAGGAATATACCTTGTGGAATAACCATTTAAAATTCGGACCTTAACAAGGGTCTATGCTTGTTATATAAATAATAAATAAAAAGGGCCAAATACTGTGCCCTGCGGTACACCAATATACGCGTAAATAATAATGTTCTTACACAAACTAACACAATGATCCCTAAACAATATTGTGTAATCTCGATTTTTCTTTATCAGGTACGGTCTGCACTTTTTGTTTCTTTGTGGGTCTGATCTTCACAACGGGCGCTGGAGAATACTGGCTAAAGATGTTTGATTCTTTCGCCGGTACTATAGGCCTGGTCGTCGTGGCTCTCCTTGAAATGGTCTCTGTTATTTACATCTACGGACATGAGAAGTAAGTTGCCATTAGTAACCATTCTGAAGATTTCGGTATACCTACTGGTGTTTTATTATACCCCAACGTTAACTGTATCCCGTTGGGAAAACCGATAAGGCATAATGCATTAATCGAATAAGATTGTGGCTTTACTGCGGTCGGTCACCTAACCGTTTATTAAGCGTAACGTAGACAGTGCTTACTTACTTACTTAGTATTTCCACGTAGCTGGTACTTGCATTGGTAACCATCACAAACCTTTAGTAAAAGACGGAGCTTGTTCTCAACAAGCTGTATTACCCAGTTAACGAAAAAAAACACAAAAGTAATATAACGCAAATGATTACTCTAGTATAGATACTAACTGCCTCCGTGGCCGAACGGTTACCATGCCGGACTGCCACGCAGAGGTCCCAGGTTTGATTCCCGGGCCGGAAGAAATAGTTGTATAGCCTACAATTATTTCTCTCGTCAGTTTGGGTGTAATTTATGGTTGTCTATGTGTGTCCATGGCACCCGCGGCACAGGGTTTCCCTAGTGCGGGGCTATGTTGAGTGTGTGCGTTATTTATTATTTACTATACTGTAGTAAGACAAGTAGGGCAACTACCGCCTGTTTGGCGCATCTAGTGTTGGGTCATGGAAAAATTTCCATTTTGTGAAAATAATATTTTTCAGAAAAATAAATATTTTTCCTGATGTTTTTCCAATATTTTCCTTTTCATTTTCCACAGTTGACGATGACACCTGTCAAAAGTTAAAGATGGAAAGGTTTTTCGCTATTGTGAAATCATTTGAAATCTCGTTTTTCTCTATGTAGCTTTTAGCTATACAAGTTTATTTTATAATTCACGCTAAATAAAACTTCAAAAGATATTTCGAAACGTGGACATAATACGAGCCTTCGGAATTATATTTTTCAAATTTTTCAGAAAATTCGTACTCAATGCGTACACTAAGGATCGTATTCTAGAACTCTACTCAATGCTCAAATCAGGATTTGTTTATGGTTTAAAGCACTCGAAATCATACTCAAGTCCCTGCCATTAGGGTCGTATTTCCAGTGCTTCTGTTTCCAGTGCAATCCTGACTTGAGCATTGAGTAGAGTTCTAGAATACGACCCTAAATGTTCTTTCGGAGCGTAGGACTGTTACATTATTATTTTATATGTATGCACCTACAGGTTGTATATAAATTTAAAAAATTAACGTGTTCATCATATTCTCGTACTGTATTGAAATAACCTTTGTTAAATGCTGTACGTAAGTACAGATATTTTTATACCAACACCGCGGATTGGTGTCTCCATTAGGTAATATAGTTATGAAATAGAAATAAAATGTCGAACAATTCTGAATATCGTCGCCTTAGAGTGAAAACCTCGCAAACGCGTTTTCATATTGTTCTATTTCACCGATTTTTGTTGAAGAATACGTTATAAACTTGTTGCTCAAATATAAATATTAAAGTACATCTGAAAGAAGCATAATTTAACTATTAAAACGCTAACTACGAACATTATTCCGTTTACTACGTTATACACCACATTTTTATCTTTGTCCTGAAAAATTACATAGAAATCACGTCCAAATTACAGTATTCACTATAAAACGACTATAAGTCACTCTTGTCAAACCACCCATAAACACAATAATCAACACGTCTTGTATTTGATGTCATTTTTTATACACCGAGCGAACAATTAAATCCTATAATTAAAAGCGCGAGTGACGACACGCGCTATGCAACCTGAATGCAACGCGAGATTATGCAAATGTGTGCATCCGCACAAACCGCACGGTGGGCGTGCCACATACAAGTCGCGCTGCTGCGTTTGTATGGAATTACCTACTTGACTCATACTAAGTGGATCAATATGTCTCAAAAATGTGTTACGAATGGGTTACGATGCAATCTTATACTTTGAAAATAAACAGAAATACAGCACATTTTAGGTTAGTTTCTGCGGCTTTAACATGTCACCTCATTATCTTCCTAGGTTCACCAATGATATCTACGAGATGACTGGCTACCGCCCAGGGCTCTACTGGCAGGTGACATGGCGCTACGTGGGCCCGGTTATCGTCAGCTGTATCCTGCTGTCTTCACTCGTGTTTATGCTTATCAATCCACCTACTTACGGTGCTTGGAATGCTGATGAGGTGAGACGTTCGTTCAAAGGCTTGTAGCTTTCAGTTCGATTAATTTCTTATTTATATTCCGACTTCAGGATCCAATACTATAGACATGGTCCATAAGCTTCTAATCGGGTTCCGTTTATACTGATTAGAAACTTGCTTGTTATAAAAGAAAACCAAGCAAAATAACTTCAATTTCAAAGATAATGCACGAACACTTTGCAAGTTTTGTGTAGGTTTATTTTAAAAATATGTAATTGTAAAATAAACATTAATTCTACTAATTCAATCCCAACTGGCAACATTTTTGACGAGGAAATGCATTTTAAAGTAACTTATTTAATGGATGTTTGTGGTAACGTCGATGTTTCCGATTTCCATAACATAAGTGCTTTCGCTACTTACTACTTACTAACATGTATACAAACCTTCGCGGCCCTCCACGTTGACTCCGACACTACGGATTGAAACCACCCAAAATTAAATGTATCGATATCAACTCGTGCAAATAACCGTACCCTGATATGTTCCGTCCGTACACACTCCATGACCAAATGCTGTACATCCTCAGGAATTCCACACACTGCTCAATTCGGTGAATTCACCCTCCACGTCAAGTACAAAAATTTGTTTATTTTAACGTTTCCGGATGGATTGTAAAAACTTGTTATGTAAATAACATTTTATGTAAATAACATAATATTCGTTAAAATTTTAATCTACAACATAATAACAAGATAATAGAATGCCAGGAACAAAACAGTTTTAACTTTTTCAATTCTTCAGGGTCGCGTGGACAAAATGCAATATCCGAATTGGGTTCTCGGCATAGCCATTGCAATGATACTAGCCGGGGTACTGCCCATCCCTGTGGTACTCCTACTTCGCCGCTTCCAGTGCCTTGCATTCGATGTGGACATACATCAAGGGTCTATAAGGAGGATTGAGACTACGGTTTCCACGAAGGAGATGATGAGTGACCAGGATGTAAGTTTTATTTTGATATTATTTGTTTTTATGTAGAGGTAGGCAATGATAGCTGTTGCGTACATTTTTAGACACTGGAAAAAAATTAGGTAGTCCTAGGGCACTTTTAAACTAGACGCTTATATAAGTGCAGCCGCGACTCTACTAATTTTCATACAATATTCAGAAGCGCAGCTGAACGCCACTGTTGCGCCACTTTTACAGACTAGATATTGTATGAAAATTAGTACGCAGAAGCGCCACTACAGCTCTTCTACAAGCGTCTAATTTCAAGGCTTTATTTTAGGAAAGTTTATTTTATGTTAATTAAATATCACAATGTTTTTATACCATGATATTCATCAATTATTTGTGGAAATACTCAACTAGTTTGTTATTATTAGTGATATTAAAATTCGAACAAACACAAAGAAATATTCCTTCGTTCCGACACAGAGGGTCTCCTTCCGTTCTCAGTCTGACATCTGTCCGGAACAATTACTGTCTAATAAGTAATACTCGACCAAAGTAATAATCTCGGTAAAGATTACTAAAAAAACCGACTTCAAAAGTACGTGAAATATCATCAGTACATCTATTTGCCAAGTTTTATTGAAATATCCCCGGAGACAATAAAAATTGGTTCTCACTACTCAAAGTATATTGAGAGAGAAAAACGCCTTGAATTGGAGAATAGCAAAACCAAACATTAAAACAATTGCTCCTTAAGTAAATTTAGGCGCTATTTATAAAAATGAATGTTCATGCGTGATCAGCCACCCTTAGAGGTGAATGATTTTCTTCAAAATGAAATGGGACCACTATGGAGATACACTCTTTCCAACAAAAAAGAATCATGAAAATCGGTTCACAAATACCAGAGTTATCGCGTAACATACAAACAAACAAAAATACATACAGAATTGAGAACCTCCCCTCTTTTTTTGAATTCTGTTAAAAAATGTATGATGCGAATGAAACTTCATACTTTACATTGTCTTTTAATTTGGTCGAGTATTACTTATTTGACAGTAATCGTTTCAGACGGATAATGGGAAAAGACCACAGAAATTTTTCTTTATGTTTGTTCGTTCTTTGTTCTTGTTTGCCTTGTTTTTTTGCACTCTTTCTTCATGAAGCCTTTCCACAATATACTAAAAAGTATTATCCAAAAGTATTATTAAAAGTATTATTATTATTAAAAAGTATTTTAATCCTTATTTGATGAATCTGTAAATTATTATGTTAGTTTAAGTTTTTTATAAGTTACGTTCAGTCCACTTTTGCTTCTTACATAATGTACGCAACGGATTTTATAACAATAGGTGATGGTATGGTTTTGTTATATTTTGTTGTTATGTTTTTTATGCTAATGTAGACCTTTTATAGACATGTACCTGTAGCAACAATAACTATCTACGTTTGGAAGTTTTCAGAAGCTACACTTTATGTAAAAAAATAAAACAAGGGACTTTCGCAACAGCTAAAGTCACTAACGTTCAATTTTTCTAAAACAATTTGAAAATTGTAATATAAAAATGTAAATAACAGCGAGGTATATGTGCTAATGATTGTTCAAATGTGCTAAAAGTGTGATTTTGTTTGTTTGTTTTCTAATTAACGTGATTCTCTTTGTATGGGTATTTTGGCGATAGGTACCTAACTAGCTTTCATACATTGATCTGCGGGAAGAGAAAGTGGGTTGGTCTCGAGTAATCACAGGCGTTTTAGCCCTATCCTGTGACCACATGAAGATGAAATTATCGCTCTATTTAACCGACTTCAAAAAAGGAGTGTTAAAGTGAGTTGTTATAACGCGGGTAACTCAGTAATGGTCCCATTTGGGATGAATCTGGTTTATTGGATTTCAGATTTCACCCACTTTCCGTTAACGGATTTCAATAAAACTTAGCAAATAGATGTAATTCCACAAAATTTTGAGGTCATTTTTTTATTAAAAGAAATTATAATTATTCCACATTAAGTCATCATATCACTGTCAGATCGTTATTAAACAGGGTTACCCATTGATTTTTAATAACATTTATTTTATGAAGACGTCGACAAAGTACCCATTCACTAACTTAACCTTGTATCGCTCGTGTATGGCTATAACAGCTATTTGTAAGTAAATGTGGGCACACCAGGTATTGTCACCGGACGACGCGTCGCCAGCGCCCGCGCAGCTTGTCGCTGAAGCCGCCGGTACCAGATTCACAATTGGAGATTTTGATGTAAGCTATTAATATACAGGCTGTTAAATAATTTTTTAACCGGACTGTGTCTCCTTCGATTATTGTTTGGAACCTTTAACCGAAAATAACACCGCTAAAGTTATTGATTGCCCCAGATAGAACAATATACCTATTGTACAAATATGTTTTAACCTCTGTATATTTTTAAGAGTTTTAGTTTTTGACAGATTTTAATCTCTTACCCTCAAAGAATTGCCCTGAGTTCTGTAAGCACATTGATGCAAAAATACGAGTTGCTGCAACTTGCAGTTATCTGCATTTAGAAATAACGAATTTTGTACAATTAAAGCAGATTTTTTTGTAAAGGCAGAATCTCTCTGTCTCTGATATTGGTGACCGTCAGGATGGCTGGTTGCCTGTGGAGTCTGGCACTGAGTGTATATTGAAGAACCTACCTATTTGCTAACTTTTCTAAATAATTGCTACCTAATAATTGCTTCTTAATAATAATTTACCAGCCATTTTGATATCAGGATGGCTGGTGGCCACTTTATTCAGCATGTAGGAAGCAGATTTTCCAGGAGTATGTATTACTAATAATTGCTACCTATTCGCTACTTTTACGAATTAAAGATATGAGCTTCTTATATACATTAGTTAAAAAATATAACCGAATACCTTATGAATGATTAAATTATAAAAGCACAAGTTTTTAGTGCTTTATCGTCATAATGTGGCTGGAGTATAGGTATTTTTTTAACTAATTTATAATTAGGTACAACTAAATTCTCGTTAATATTACGTTATGAGGGTTACCTATCCTCTCGGTTTCATACATCAGCAATCTCACCAGATTAGTTTGCCTCGAAGTAATTGTATTATTAAGATGACGATAAAGCACTAAAAACTTTTGCACTTATAATTTTATCAGGGACTACTTCGTAAAGTTTTCAATCGGTTATATTTTTTTAACTAATGTAGATAAGAAACTCATATCTTTAATGCGTGAAAATAGTAAATAGGTAGCAATTATTGGTAATACATACTGCTGGAAAATGTGCTCCCTTCATGCTGAACAAAGTGGCCACCAACCATCCTAATATCAGAATGGCTGGTCAATTATTTTTTAAATTTCTCAAAATATATCATAGGTAGCAATTTTTGAAAATACACTCTGTGCCATCCTGACGGTCACAACATCTTCTTTTCATTACGATCGAAGACCCTTTCTTTAGCAAATTACAACCTTTTTTAACAGTGTAGTCTGTACTTACGAATTGGAACGGAGATGGTATCTTGATGTGTACCTCTATGTATATAAATATCTGTCTAGGGTGTGGACAGCGCCGACGAACGACCGACCAAGACCAGGCTTCCCACCAGCATCGTGCGTCGCCCCAAGAAATAAATGTTTGTCCCTCTCGCTCGTGTATCCGCCATTGTGTTTTCAAGCTTTTATTGTGGCAACTCTTACTCGCTTTTAGCGTTTAGATTTAGTGTTTTGCATGGATAGTTTTTCTAGATCCTACGTATATAGGTACGTAATGATTTAAAAACTTAATAAATAACACATGAACTTTAAATTTAATTAAGGCCAATAAGTTACATTTTGATCCTGAGAATGGTGCGATACGTTAAAGAATAATTTTTTTTAAAGTCAATATAACCGCCAACATTTCAGGATTCAAAAGGAACTTGTTACATCACTATTTTATACAATCTAAGCTTTGAAGCTATTCGATGATTCTTCGGCCGAGAGTCGAACATTCAACAACTCCTGAGGATGCCTCGTAGAGAGGCGGCAGTGATTCTTTTATTACCTATCCGCCATATTGGTTTTGTAAGAGGAACTACATTTAGCTACATTACCTAGTTTTGTAGCAGGAATATTTTTTCTTCTTCCAGTGCTGGTAATGTAACTTGGTTATATATACGGATAACACGGGGGCGAAACACGTGTCAAATACATTTTTGTGACTGTAGTTGCGTTTGTGTTATGAGTAATTTTCAATTCGAGTTTTTTAGTAATTTTCAGGTTAGATTTCTTGTTCGTGTGGCAATTTTTATAATTTAGGTCTTCAGGTAAATTATCGTGAAATACTAAATAATTTTTCAGTTTACTACGCTCGAATATTAAATAATACTTCATAATAATATTCTATAATATTAAAATAATAGAAATTGTCACCGAAATTAGGAAGTGAAACCTGAAATATTCCCTTATTTTTAGATATTTTATTATTAATTTTATGCGGACAGAGTGGGCAAATTAACTGCATGAAAAAAATGTGCAATACGAGCGCAGCTATTACGCACGATTTAACCTTCACTAGAATCGCGGAGTAACAAATTAATTTACTTCCATTTTTTAGGAGCTTATTACAAACCAGGGATTCGGTTTGTAATAACTTCACGATGTTTATTCATCGTTAGCAAGAGTTATTACTAACATATTTATTTGACATAATAATTTTCTCGCTCTACCAACTTTATTGAATATCACGATGTTTTATTTACTACCATGATATTCGTTTTTGTGAAATTACTTTATAAGTTTCTTATAATTTAATACAAAGATCGAACACTAGGAAAAATTCATTCGTAGCTCAGTTGGGAGAGTGGCACGACACACGAAACGAATCCTGGCGCTGGTTCGAATCAAGCCGGATTTTTTCCCTGAAATGTTGTTTTGCAGATGTGGCTTTAATATTCGATTAAAGTTACGCAAGTTATTTTTTATTAACATTTGGAAACGGGAAGAAACGCGTTCATATACAAATAGGTATTTTTCACGCCTACCTAGTTTCCCGACGTTTCGACCAGGTTGCTGGCCGTGGTCAGGGCCTTATTTTTTATTTTTGAAATATATTCGCATTTGTCTCTACAACTCGAATTACCCCAAAGCTTAGACTTTAAAAAATAGTACTGTATGATAGCAATGATCGGAACTGAGGGAGTTAATTTAGCTAAACTAAAGAATAATGTGGACTTTCTCTTCTATAAATCCCAAGACTTCTCGGAACTGATTTTATTTGAATATCGTCAGGGATAGTGCAATTACGCGTAACTAGCATTTGATTATCAGTTTCCATTCCGGTAATTTAGTGGCCATATCAAATCAGCGTAAATGTCCTGACAACGGGAATCTATAGTCATCAGACCGTAGACAATATAAATTAATGCCTTGTGCAGAAATAAAAGTCATAGCCATGTACAAAACAATAACGTTAAATCCCTCTCATGTGAAATTTGATGACAAAGTGAGTATGTCCATGCTAAGAAAACGTTCGTACTTTAGGTAAATTAACTCCGATCACTACAAGTTGTCACACAAAATAATACTAAATTAAGAAACAACTTATGGTTTATTTTTATTTTAGTCAGTAGTACAAAAAATGCACTTAGTTCATCAAATTTTAGCTAAACTTTAATTTTACGAAGGTGTTAATGTGTTTTTATTCTATCTGCAGACGGAGTCTGAAGGTGAAGTGCGCACGGCCGTTCGTTTTGAAGACTCGAGCAGTAGTGACGAGGAAATTCTAAATACAAAATCCGGAACCGGACGGCTCGCTATGAAGGCGATTGGCCGCAAGCTGAACACATTCAAGATGGAAGTCGTAGATTGATCGTTATATTTGAATTTAGAATAGATGTGTTGCTAGTTTTAATTTTAATTAAGAATGTAATGCATAATCTAGTAGAATCATTTTGTCAACAACAATATTATAAATTCAGTACATACATACACCAAACTGACAACGTAGTACATAACATAGTTTAAAAATATTATGCCTATCTAAATGCTATCTATAACATAAGTGTTACGTGAAGGCAATGTCTGCGTACCATTGAAATTATGCATTCCATTCTAAATAATATGATGTATTGATAAATCATAATAGTTTCATAATCATTATTTCTTTGTGCCATATTATTATTATTAAAATTTAGAAAAAATCATGAGCGATGTGAACATATCTTAAGCGATCAAATTAATTATTTATAAAAATTCGTGCACAGATCTAAAATTAATACGCAATTTCACACGTTGTCAATGAAACTTAAAATATTCGGGAAAATTATTAGGAGCTAAAAATTAACACATCGCGTTGTAGGATTTAGTGTCCAATTAATAAATTATTAAACTTCAGGGTTTTACAAGTATCTAACGAATCTTTAGTTCTCGTCTTTTTACGGCCCTTTTTTAATAAATCTACAACTACAGGAGATATGAGCATGAACTCCATCAGCTCATTCGCCCGCCCTTCTTTACCATCGAACATCGAGACGTACGGCGAGATACCATCCCGACTTGATCGATATCGCTTCGGGCGTGCTAAGCTCTTTTCGTCATCTTTTATTATGCGTACAGCCGAGGAGTGAAATTCCCTGCCTGCGACTGTGCCTCCGAGCACATACGTGCGACTGAGTGAATGGGGCATCTTCTAGTCCTTTTACTTTAAAAATAAATCCACTAAAATATTGACCATGATCACATTACTGCTTTTATTTGGTACACCGAAACTTGATGAAACAGTTCATGTTCAATCAAACATGATAAATTATGATGAACCGAAACGATACATACTAAATGAACTACGTGCTAATTGTCGATTATGATACGAATTAGTGACAAGTGCCGGAAATCATACGCCAAAATAGGCCCAAGCTAAATTTAATTCCGTTCTACGTGTAAGAGACGGTAAAGTTGAATTAGAATTTGCAATTCCCTGTATTATATTATACTTAAATGTAATGAAATGAATGTCGGCCAATAATTTTCGAGGTTATTGTAGTATTTAGTAGAAATGTAAGTTGTTAAAATTATATGACGACTTGTTGTTGAAATGCATGAATTTCTATGCACACAGAGTCGCCTACGTTATTTTTTCCGTGGTTTTTTTTTTAATAGATTCCGTATTACTTAATCCCACTTCTGATTATTCACTTAGTTAACTGTCGATTGTAGGTTCGAACTACGTTCATTTTAGAAAATAATATTGAATGATAAAATTCAATTTGTATATTTCGTACCCTTGATATAATAAAGTCACACGTCTTCTGATCTTAAGTCAAAAGTGCTTTTATCAAATGAAATTTATAAAAATAATATGAACTAGCTAACATGAAATCCATTTTATATCCCATCTTTTGGAGGAAGAGAAACGTTAGCACAATCTACACCACAGACCAGCCGTGATCTGCCCGTTTTCGGTTAAAACATGTAAAGCTGATAAACAACGGCAAATATAGTACTTCAAAAATTCTTATAAGATCTATCGCGTAAGTATCTATCTAGTTCTCCGAAAGTTCAAAACATATAATCCCAAATAAAATATCTTACCCCATCTTGACCATATATGAAATTTTACAACTCCCTATTTAAGCATAAAAAATAATTTCGTTCATAGGATTAGGATTTTCAAATTTTACTCCAGAAAGGTTGTCATTTTGCAGATGTGGCTTTGTTACACCAAACTTACGATTTAATTTTACAGTGTCGCCAAACAGACGACAGCTATTAAGGGGGAAAATCACGGACATATAACTAGATAAATGTCTGCTGTGGGGGAAAATAAAGAGAAAACAGTAGTATTATGTTCTACTTACGCGATATATTACGAGTAACTAAAGTTTTCTTTCTTTGAAGAAAAACCTAATTCGTGCTAGTGGACTGAACTTTGTGTGCATTTAAAAATAGAATTAAATATTAAGCGAAATTAATAAATATACTTAAATAATGTAATTATAAAACGTAGCTATAACGATCTCGTCACAAATAAATACGTGTTTCTGAAGCACTTTAAAATTTAACATCTCGTGTAAAACGGCGTCAACTCAAAATTATGGTTTGTTGACTTGGCAATAGGATTTATTTACTTAATATATATTATATACATATATCGTGTTGTTATTAAACGACATTGTTAATAATATCAATTTATTCTCTAAAGTTTTTAGTGTAACTGAACAATGCGTGAATGTGTTACTTGAGTATTACTTACCACCTTTTCATTACTTGCCAAGTTAAAACAACGTAATTTTCATAGAAAATACAAAATCGATTGCTTGGTGCGCAAAAAAACCGAATCGTTGAAATTAAATACGTTATGTAGTTAAATAGAATGTTCGAGAATCGCAAAGCTAGTCATTCGATAGTTTTAAAGTTTAGACGCGTAGAACGCACGCGTTTCCGTTGATTGTGAGAATTTACTCTGGAAACAATAGTTTTAATTTTAACAAGGTCACAAATAAAAAAGTGACCCGAAATCATTTCCAAGTGAATCCAAAAAGACGGCAATTTTTCTCATGTATTTCCGTTGGACATCACTCGGTTAGTTGAGTGAAAGTATTATAACGCCATTGACTAGGATTGGCCGTTATAGAAAAAATAATAATGAAAGGTATTTTATAGTGTCAAATTTAAGAAATATTGTTAAAGATTTGAAAGCAACTGCAACTTCTCACAATCAACATAATTGCTGTAAGTTAAGATTAAGTCGCTGTATATTACTAGACGAAAATTATTAGACAGGATTCTAACTTTCTACAAGAAAGTCAGTGAAATAAAGACAGGTAATAAAAGCTCTTTAATCGTAGATATCAAAGCATAATATAAATAAATCACAATCACATGTTTTTGTAGGCATAATTTATATTTTATCTTAATAAGAAAACAAACAGTTCGTTTTAAAATTGTGTGTTTATTAATGATCTTAATTATAATTTTCCAATATAGTTTTAATATTATTATTTTCGATTTTACAATAACAATTTTACCAAAAATTTTTTTTTACTTTGTTGTGTTAAGTTTTGATAAACGTTTGAGTAATATTTCTAAACATTGTGTGTCATCATTGTGTCACTGATAAAATATTGAATTTATTTTTCTAATTCTTAATTTAGTTCTAGTTGAATTTATTGCAGAGATTTTACTATTATAAAAGTTTTTGCTAAGGTTTTCCTCTGTTTTACAGATAACAAAGAGCTTCAAAAAGTTCACATTTCCATAATGTTGCCATTATAAAGAACTATAATATCTCCTGATCCAAACATGAATATTTATGTCAAAAATCGACACTAGTGCTGCCATTTCAGAGTCAAACATGCAACATATTAAATCGTTACCGATTAAACACGAGACTACATATTTTGTGTTCTAATTAAGTATCATTTACGTCTGTGATTATTTCCAGCTAGCTTAAAAAGTATAACAAAACTTAAAAAAAACGTAGATTTTTGTTACAATGGCATCATTTTTAAGCGAAATTTAACAATTAAAAACCGCTCAAAAGAGCTAGTTAAGTACGTGTAGTAAGCTTCGGGATGACATCCCACTAGATGTAGCAACGATGATATTATTCATAAGGCGATTGTAACTTTTCAGATGCAAACAAATAAAATTTGCCTTTGAAGTTTATTGTTTTATTATATATTATAGTATATTGAAACAGCTACGAACTCGTATCTGCAGAATCCGTGTAAAGCGAAACATCCAGTGATAATCTATCCTTCCAGCTCGGTGTTGCAGTGTAAGGGACTATTTCTATTAATTAACAACAACAATAAAGTCGAAAACTGGATTAAACAGCAACACCGTGCGTTTTTTCGCTTTACCCGGTACTTCTCTTTCCCTGGCTGACCTCATCAATAGAGATGGGATGAAACTGCTAATTTTTTAAAGGTTTAAACGTTGCGTTGTAGCTTTTTTGAAAGCGCGCTTTTCTCTTACGCTTTTTAAGTTTGAAGATTAAAAAATCGTTTAAAATCTTAAAAAAGGAACAAAAAAGGAACGAGAACGGACACTCTCCGCCCCTCCCTAACTTTAGATACCGCACCACGCCCCACACATTGACGGTCACGTGGGCTGAACAAGAACAAGGCTGTCGGCGAGCCATTGTCGCGCTAAGACGGCTTTGATATTTGAATATAATTTTCATTTATTCATTACGAAACTTGTATGTTAATATATAACATCATTTTACGTTACTATTTTTAATGTTTGTGAATTGTGCTGTGTACGGCTGTTTATCATCATCTAAAAGGAATAAAGAGAGAGTTTCTTTCGATTTCGGAAAGATGAAACGAAGTAAGTAAAAAAAACTTATGTCTGCGACTCATCCAGTTATTGTTTTCTTCATTTCTTTAGTGCAGAGTAATATATGATACAGATTTATTATATCAATGTAATGAGACGCCATAACATCGTGAGCTAGTATACAAGGGTTCTCGAATTTTCAATTTGTATTGCCCATAAATATTACTTAGTGAATATACCTAATTATTAACTAGGTAATGATAAACTTGGACACGCAATTTCAAATACCTTGGTTACGTTATTTAAAAGTAACTGTACAAAATAAATCATTTTAAGTGCTTTTAATGCATTGTTTTAGATAAATCTTCAACATTATTGTAGTTAGTGAATTAATGACAAATATAATATATGGATATAACTTAGAGCATTCTAAGCAATATAAATACCTAATGAACACGTGTCATTATTAGGATTCTATTAACAGAATTGTAGATAACAGATTCGTGTTAGAATGTTCGCTGTTGCCGCTCTGACCGCGTAACGTAAATAGTACGAGAACGTAACGGGTAACCCTGCTACTTCTACCTACTACTAAATAACTTTCGACCGTTGTATGAAGTGTCCCAGGTGTGTTTAAGACTTATAAGTTAAGAAAAGCTTGCAACGTTGTGTTGATAGCAAAAAGCAAGAGTAAACCGCTAAAGGTTTTAAGTAAGTTTATTAGTAAAACACGAGTTTCATTTTTATTTATAAAATTATTATTCACATTGACGAATTAATTGGTTTAGGAAACATAAATGGTGGGACTTGAAATTTAGTCACGTTGTAAAAAATGAAATTATTAAGTATATAACTGACCAACGCTTACGCTTAAAATAATTGTTGAGTATATAACTGACTAACGCTTACGCTTAAAATAAAAAGCGTGCTTAAGTGCTCATTTTAAAAAGCAAACTTTTTTAAGTGCTTTTCGTTTAAACGCCCTCCTACACTCGTCAACGGATTAAAAATACCGCGGAAACGTAGTAATATTAAAAAAATCGTGTCCTGTAAAATTTGTTTTTTGTCGCTTACAGTAAGCGGCGGTAAAGGCCTGGTATTAGTGACGAAAAATGAATAATATGAAAGAAATTATATTACAAATAGACTCATCCGAAGAACAGAGTCCGAAGTGATTATTTACGTTACGAGAAAAATTTCGTTATTCAAACTAAGGCCTATGTAAAAGTGTTTTGAGAAGTTATATATCTTATTTGGTTACGAAATATAAAATCGAACAAAGGTCGATCTGACATCCACAGCGAAGAAGAATGAACGAAACGTACTGTGTCCTGAGAACAAGTAGTCTTGCACATAGGCCTTTGTTCTACGGATGAGTCGAAATATTACTTATATCGTATTCGTATGCATTTTGAGACCACTTTGATCGTGTCATTTTTATCATTTTCAATATGACTGTATACACAACGAAACCTCACTGACGAATAAGGTAACGAAAATCACAAGAACAATGACATGGATATTGTGTAAGTTTCCAGTCTCCGTAATAATTTCACTAAACATTTGAGCTAATTTTAAGCTAAGAAATAATAATTAACAAAATTAAAATCAGGATCTTTTTTATTGTCATAAGTTGTTGCGAAATGCAATTAAAGCTATAGATAAATATTGCATACTTTACAATTTTGCTAAAACGATGCTTCAAAGTTCTAAAAAAAATCATTGGTATTAATATAACAATATACTCTCCTTAAACTCATTAATGTATACTTAGAAACTTAAACGAAATTATAATCAGAAAAATGGAACAACATTCCAAACGTGTCATTGTCATGTAAAAGAGAAAGATTGTTTGTTAAGTAGGTTTTCCATTCCCTTTCCGCAACGTTTTCTAAACTTGTGCTTCTCTTTTAAACTATATGATATGCGTGTAAAATTGGAATAGTTTTAACAAACTTCGGACTATACTTTTTTTTTCAAGACAAAATAATAGTTGTCAGATACCATTTTACAAGTGCCTAGTGATCGCAGTCTATAAATTATATAGTAAATATTCTATTGGCTATCGACTGATTAAGACGAATAATTGAGTTAAGATGAATTAAACATAAAAAAATAAATAGTTGGAAAAAACAGTGCGTGCCTTTGCACTTTACGAATTTATTTCGATATTAGAGGCCCAACTCAAACTACTCGTATGACAGAAGGCAATAATGTCACGTTCTAAATAATCATTAGAACGTCAACTCACTACGTGTGCTTCTGCAGAAAGACTTCTCCTTTCACAACCTATCGATAAAACTGTCGACAACAACTCTATCGATAAAACTGTCGACAACAGCTTTACTACATGACTATTTAAAATTTTGCATAATTATGACTGACTATCTGCAAACGACATTTTACTCCCTCTTGGAAATAAAAAGTATAGTAACTTTTTTAGATACTAACCGCATAAACACACGACCTTTTGTAAAAGCAAAAAAAGTTTGCTTTTGAGATACAAACCACAGAATTCGTCCAAAGAATACATCGATCGGCTTTGGCACTTTGATATACATATAGCGCCCATTTACCAAAGCGGAGAGGACAGAATGTGAATGAAAATAAAAATAAATTACTTTGCTGTTTCGCGGAACCAGTAAAGATTTAATCGTGTAAAATACGATTATCACGCCGAGGGTCGAACAATCAACTGTTGATGATGCTTCGTAAACAGACTGAACATGTGTCGGGTAAATAACGGGCATGTATTTAATTTTATTGGGGGAATTAACGGCATGAAAAGAAATTCAACACAAGCGCAACTAACTATTTTATCAGTTTGTTGACTAATGTTTTGACGACCTCGGTGGCCCAATGGTGCGGAGGTCCCAGTTGTAGGACCAATTTGGAAAACGACCTTTTTTAAATTAGTTCTGACCTGTGTGTTCTAAAAGTGCCCCACGTGCCCCAGTGCCAAACGCATTAAGGACCACGGAGTGACATGTCGAGCTAGAATTGACTTAAAAAGTGCGTTTTACGATAGTTTAACTAATATGTCTGAGTCTCACGATAGTTTTCTATTTCAAAGTACATCATTCTTCTCTCCGCTTAGGTATCTAACGGAAGACGGCTCTCATTTGTGTAGCCTAGTGTAGTCTCTATATGTTCACATAAAAGTACGTACAATTTCTTATACGCTAATAATTATAATAATTTAAGCAATATTGCACTAGGATGTCAAAGTGACAAGTACCTCTACCACGAGATTATGATATACATAGTAGAGGTGCAGTATGTTCTAATTTAATTAGCAATCAGACAATAACAAAAATATCCTATAATAAATTTCAAAAATATTATTTACATTCAAATTCCATTATTTTGGACTACTTCTTTATGCCATCGTGCTTTTCAATTTCGAATACAATGATTTTGAACAGTAAATTATTTTTCACCTCTCTAGCTCGGAAGGGACTTCTTTCTCATTAGAAATCTGCGCGCAAAAGACTTGGAAAAGGTTTTTGAAATTCGAACTTGACGAAGGACTGTGGTGTGGTGCACCAAACTTTTCCTTTCGATGAAAAAAAAGATAATGACACGTACAACCACGCGATTTGTCGTACATTACTTATTTATGTAATATAAATCCGTTGGTATATTTTATTCTTATTATGGTTGACATTAATTTGACAATGTTACTTGTGTTTATTAAATTATTTTAATTGAAAGAACTAAAATAATTTCAATAATCACTTAATCACACAAAATAAAAGTACAACTAAGAATAAAAATTGATGAGGTGTATATTCAGAACGCATCCAAAGATTAACTTTTTCTTTTAATTAAAAAAAACTGATGTTTTAAAGTTCATCTGTTTTTCTTTCATGTACCACTTTCCTCGCTATAGTGAGGCGAAACGTCGTGTGTTTCGCTCGGCAGCAAAATTGGTTTGCGTCTCGTGCCTTGAAACCCTCGCTACGCTCAGAAATCGCTTCGCTCGTGATTCAATCTTAGCTTCCTTGGCTTGCTCAGGTTTCAATACAAGCACTCGCGTCAAACAACAACTTTGCAGCCTTGCATTAAAAGACAAAAAATAATAATTTTATACATCTTAAGTTTGCGCTCACAACTAAACTCGGAAAGGTTGGTGAACGCAAACTCAATTTAAGTGCATCTGTTTCGTTCGTTATCTAAAACTAATGAGATTTTTTAATCATTAAGTACAAGTTAAAGCTTAAAGTTAACAAACTGTTACACATAATCCAAGGTCAATAAATTAAAGTCGCGAGCTAAAACACAGTAAACAACAAAAGTAAAATTTTAAAAAGTAATTAATAGGGACATTAATGTAATAGCTACCCGAACGAATAACATGAACATATCGCGCTCCCTTTTGACTGATCATTTATTGAATAAAAAAAATAGAAGACTACAAACAAAATTGGTCTTTATTATGTGGCATATATTTTTTTCGCAAAATTTTTCTAATACAGATAATGTCAAACAATAATACATGTTTACAGTGTTAATTTCATTTCATATTTCGAACTATAGATTGACAGTGGATTGAGAGCTTTGAAAATGGTCAAGCTGCTTGATTCGCACTAGGTATTTATTTCACTGTCTCCGAAACTCGTAAAAGTGGCTTCTCACAACCCGTGATCTCAACAAGGACAGCGCCGCACCGCGTACTCTCGCTACAGGCAAGTCCGGGCCGCCCGGGCCTACACCCGTGGTGGCTTGTACTCGGGCATGTGTTACGTGCAGTTTAAGCCTGTCAGTAGTCAGAAATGACATTTTCCAGAAATAATGTTTGGTCGAAATTTCATAGCCAGACTCGAAATTTTGAGAGGAAAATGTTTTTTCTTTTAAACCTAACTTAACTTAACCTAACCGAACCTAATCGTGTCCTTGTGATAAACATTCAACATATCCTGAAAAAACAACTGTTTCGTCTTAATTGTTTTCGGTGTAATGAAAATTCGAACAAACGTTATTTCGGACAAAAAAATTTTTGACTTTGTAATAGGTTACCGTTACGTGCTCTACTCTGATTTGAGCTGCTTTCAAAAATGTCATGTGAGGTACGCATAGCTTCTTCGGCAGCCACTTTTATATTATACAGTGGCTACAACTTACTAGGAGAAAACGCTGGTGGGTGTTATCATTCACCAAGAGCATCAGGCCGAGATAAGTTCATACGATTGTATTGAATTAAGCATAAATAGTTTGTTTTAGCGATTCATACTAATCATTTAAATCTACGCTGTTATAAGGAATGATCGCCAAACGCTCGCGCCCACACACGCTGCGCCTTTGAAGTTACCGACATGATGGATCCAATAGGCCCTTCGGCACAGGCTGCACTATTCACACGGCGCGTTGGCGCGAGCTGAAGAACGTTCGAGAACGAGAACGAACGAGAAAGCAGTCGACCAATCATGTAGGTACCTTTTTATCTTGTGCAAAAAATTTAAAAGAACGCTATTCTTTTTTTGTATAGCCTTTTCTTATTTCAACAAATAATCAGTCAAACTCAATACGAATTGGAAGACTTCACGGGTGATAGCAAAAAGGGCATAGATTGAAAATATAATGTTACATGGCGTCAGATCTATTATTTTTCTGGGTCAACTTGCTCAGAGTACTCAGTTGCGGAAAAGCAGTTTTATTCTGTACAGGATTCAATTTTGTTGTCATGTAAATAAACGGCTCGTAAAGAGACGGGCGGTCCATGGCGGAGGCTTCAAAGTGGCGGATTTTTTCCCGCGCACACCAGTTTGCCGCCTTTGAGCATGTGTTTTCTAGATTATTTAAGTCGTCAGGACCGGTACGGTTGCCGATTACTACCATTACTACCTGTGGGCAAATTATCGAATAATTTTAAAATACCTTTACCTTTATACCTTTACCTAACTGCCTCTGTGGCCGAACGGTTACCATGCCGGACTGCCACGCAGAGGTCCCAGGTTCGATTCCCGGGCCGGGAGAAATATTTGTATGACCTACATTTGTTTCTCTCGTGAGTTTGGGTGTAATTTGTGGTTGCCTATATGTGTGTCCATGGCACCCGCGACACAGGGTTTCCCTAGTGCGGGGCTATGTTGAGTGTGTGTGTTATTATTATTATTATTATTACCTTTCCTTTATAGTTATAGTTTAAAGTTAGAGCTCGAATGCTAGTATCTAAGTCTCTCGGCAGGTTTGTAGGATGCGAGATCCAAAGATCTTTGCTATTCTATTGCGTCAAACACAATCACTGCAAGTCTCAGTTCCTATTTGTAATTTAGGCAAAGAGATTTATTAATTTTCAATAAAAAGAGCTCATTTTACGAAGTAAAATTATAATTCTTTAATATTTAATGTCCAAAGTATGTTAAATGTATCTTCTTATGTTATTAATTTCATAAATTACGATAAAACGAAAAATCGTTTTTGCAGTTTTTTCTCAAAATACTGTTTTTGATATTACAGTTACGTGATAATACTTTAAAATAAGTTAAATAAAAAAGTTCAGTAAATTAAAGATGCCTACAAATTTGCTCGACTCTTGACGATCGACACGTGTCGATCTACAAAAAATACGATGTAAATATCAATTATCGGCTTCTATATACGCCGATTGGCAAATCCTTTCACCACGATGGCAAGCATTATACAGCGTGTACCATCTATACGATGAGAAGGAGAAGAAGAAAAGAAGAAAATTGACAGAAATACGATGTCCACCGTCTGTTACTTACAAATTTAGTCGTCGATAGCCAAAAAATCGAAAAAATCTATAGTGACACAAATCGATGATACGAGCTCCTACACCCCAATAACAACATACCTCTTTTTTATCCTTATTCCGGTCAATATCCTTCTTTAAATACATAAGAACGTCAAGCGACTCCGGCCTGGTGACGTCGTAGACCATGACAAACCCTTCAGCAAAGCCGATGTAGTGGCGCTGCAGCACTTGGTTGGCTGTTAGCTGCATCGTCGGGGACTGTGGTGGACCTGTAAGGCAATGAACTTTTTAAAACTATAAATTATCACAACGCATACATACCTACCTACATACTCACATATAAGTAGTTTGGACTCAATGGCGACTTTCGGGTAAACGTAAAAACTTACTTTACATTCGCTGATCGATCACCTTGATCGGTAAGAAAATGATGAAGATTTCATTTTATACAAAATGAAACTATTTTTCGGATTTAAATCGCGTAAGTATATTTGTTTTTTCAAACAAACAAACGTTTCATGCCCTTTACAGGTCCCATGGTCACGGTTGACTAAGACCCCGTGACCAAAATCATTTACCGTGTGTAACAATCACGAAAACCTAGAACTCGATAGATTTAATTTTAGTTTAAAAGCTAACCTTAATAACTTCTAAATATAATAGTGATTTAAATGTAAACCATCTAAAATATGAATTAGAGCCTGTCGCTTTCAGCCTGCATGGATGACCAGCGTCCAGCCTCCATGAATGACCAGACTGACAGGAAACAAAGACAGGAATTCGAAATTAGACCGACTTTCTTTTGGACAAAAGACGACGATCGACCTTGCTTTCTTTTGACAAAGGACGACGAGAGCAGTCCTGACTAAACCCCCGACGCGAGCAGACGACTTCTTCTGACTGAATTGTACAGACAGACCGTACAGAGCCTATGCGTATTTGTTACGCGCGGACGACGTGCGATTTACGAGCGCGTTTATAGCGCCCCGTAGAGGCTCAATAAGAATGAAGAACGTATGCAAAAGTTTACTGGCTACAACTGAATTCCTTTGAGTCGCGCGTCATCAATGCGTCGTCGGCCGCGCGTAAAAATATGTCGAATGAGAGCTTTAAGTAAAATAAAATAATCTGTCTTTTTCTTGCTTAATTGTAGAGATATGTGCGCTGAAATAAAATTACGTTTAGTTTGCGTTTGTCCGGATCTAGGCCAGTATTTTATAAGAAATGTTTTTCTTTGTTCATTAAGTAATGTATATAGTAACTGCAAATGGTTTTTTAACAAAAAAATTGTACTTTAATTAACTGTTTAAGAAACTAAAACTCGCCTAGTCTTACAAGTATGAAGAAACTCAGTGTGTATATCTTTTGTAATCAAACGCCTGGTAATTGTGCACCAGCTGTAATGTGATTTTCTACTCAATTTTATTAATTTTTTTATATTAGTAACGAAACAATAATACTACTACATAATAATAAATAGAAATAACAAAATTTGTTATATTTAATATACAAAACAAGTATTCGTGTTTTCTGCTAAGCATTTGTGCTGTATTATAGGAACAGTAAGAATTAAAAGAAACATATAAACATAGTTTTAATTTTGAATGTAAACAGGTAAAATAAAAAGACAAAAAGAATAGAAGAATGATAGTGTCCCACAGGGCAACATGTTGAACCCTAAATAGTTTCTAAGGTATGTCTAAATTATGGTATGATTGCTATTAATTTTCTACCATATTAGTGTTAATGAAAAGTATAATATTAACAATGAAGGTGGTTTTACAATTATGTAAAAGCTAACAAGTTACTTTTGATCCTTGATTAATAATGGTGGCAGATGATAGAATATTCGTAATTTTGGTGTAATAAGGCCACATCTGAAAAATTACAAATTTTCAAAAGAGGTATAAAGATTCTTCAAACAAAATTAGTTGATAACTTTTTTGTGCTCATTTAATTCTCATATTTATTTTTATGACTTTAATGTGATAAAAGCACTTTGGAGATGTGATTACTTGTGGCTTTATTATACCAGAGTATGATATAAAAGTTCATAGACTATATCATAGATATTTCATCAGCATGACACATGCAGAAACATTTTGGCAATAAAAGCCAACAATCAGTCAAAACTTAACTTGTCAGCTTTTGAATTATATAAGACAATGACAATGCCAGGATCACCATAGACATTTATTATTATTTTTACAGTAAAACAATTGTCAAGTTGCAGATATCAGCCCATTATACTATACACGGTGTCTTTATTCAGGGCCTATGAAGCCCTTCATCACTACAACTATTACTTGAACAATTATGATTACCACTAATTACAGCAGAGCCAAAGACTACAGTGTTAAAGAACTGAAGAATTTTGTTGGCTTCAACAGTTTTGTTGTGTATGTATGGAGTATGTATCCAAGTATGGAGTTTCGTACTTCCATCAAGAGGCAGCATAGATGGTTACCCAAAATGGGAAGTTTTGATACGGAAATATGTTTAGTATACATTACTTCTAGTATCCAATAAAATTACTCTTAGCTCCCAGAAACTTCTGTAAGCTCTTTAAATTTTTGTAACAATATGAATGAACAATACCTGGCATTGTCTTTTAAGACTGCTTTATCTTACAAAGCTTCCAAGTGCCGCAAAGCTGAGCGCTGCAACTCCATGAAGACAGCAAAGCTAAAATCGGTATAAAAATAGTTTCTAAACCTTTAAACTCGCCTGTCAGCGGCGGCTCCAGCCCCGCGGTATCGTAGATACAAACCCTCTCCTTTGTACCTCGTTCCGTCTCGATATTTGCCACATAAATGTCCTCGATCGTTGGGTAAAAATTAGATTTAGAATTAACATTTCCGTATATTAATTGCTCTAGAACAGCCGTTTTGCCAACTCCTTTCATACCGCAAACGACTACTTTGCTTAATTTTCCCATTTTTATAAGAAATTTCGTGAGGAAATACGATATAAAACAAACGGTATAATAATAACTGTTACTTTCACTTTGTCTGTGGATTTGAAACTAAACCGTTTGCAATGTAGCAGTCTTAAAGATAAAATTTAAGATTATTACACTATTTGCTTGTTTTAGAGAGTTAATTTTGTTGAAAAGTAACAAAAACTTGTTACTTTTCACTGAAACACCAACTTTGTGTTGTTGACATGTTATTTTGACATCTGTCAAAAATTGCCCTTGGAGACAAAATCATTCACTCACTTATTCGCTAACTTTCACTTTGTAAACTTGAGCAATTAGAAAGATTTAAGACTTGTATTTGCCGATCCATTAGTGAAAGATCCACACTTTTTGTTATGATTATTTTTTGCACAATTTGCATAACTATGAAAAATAGTCTTTTTTTTTCATGTGTAATACGGAATTTGTCAAAAATTTCGACAATTGTGACAACTGCAGTGAACGAATGATTTTATTCAATTTGACATTGGCGAAATCATCGTTTGTTTCCCTAAAGTTTGTTTCGATGGAGCCATAGCATTTAAAAGAAGAAGGAGAAGTTGACAGCACAAACTAGAAAGAATAAACCGTGTGTCTTTCAACCCGGATACTGGCGGAATTGTCCTCAGTGGGATAGAGCACACAAACAAAACAAAAAATTGTAGTTTGACAGCATGGCGACCACGGCATTGGATTCCGAAATCATGAAAAGCGATAAATATTCTATTTTATTGCCTACTTATAATGAAAGGGAGAATTTGCCGATAATTATATGGCTAATTGCCAAATATTTAGATCCGACGTAAGTTCCAAGTCTCTTTAATTTTGCTAATTTGATGATACCTAAGTTCTTTGTTATTTTAGTCTAGTTTTCTTCCGCTTTTCATGGTTTTCGTCTCATTTTTGCAGTGAATACGATTATGAAGTGATCATTATAGACGATGGAAGCCCCGACGGCACGCTAGACGTAGCAAAACAGCTTCAAAAGTTATATGGATCCAATAAGATTGTACTTCGCCCTAGGGAGAAAAAGCTCGGTTTAGGCACTGCTTACATTCACGGAATGAAACATGCGACAGGCAACTTTATAATTATAATGGATGCAGATTTGAGTCACCATGTAAGTAGAAGAGTTTAACCAGATTTTCAGTGATTGTGTATTGTTGTGTGATTTAAGGCGCGTTCAAATTAGCCGCTGTTAGCCGCGCTGCAGCAGCGCTGCGCGGTGGCCGCGTGGTGGCCGCGCGACTGTCACTTTTCATACAATTCTAGACGCGCTACAGCAGCGCGACGGCCGCGCGGCTAATTTGAACGCGCCCTTATTGAAGAAATTATGTTCAAAATAAATGATGATGAAACATTAAAAACCAGCAGACTTATTATGAGCACAAATAAAAATTGATAAGTCAGTTTAAACTGATGAAGGCACTATGAAAACTATACTTTTTTTTAATTATAACCATCTGCTATCAGTCCTTGAACCATAAACCGATCCGTACTCGTGATCTGATAGTTTTATGTTATTTGGAATAAACAGTCTTGTGACTATTTTCTTCCTTAGTCATTAAATGGCTGATTGTATTCTACTGATTCAACTTTCCGGTATTCTCGGCTTTTTCAAATGACTTGAGCAACCTAGATGCTTTTCGTCAACCAGAGATCTTGGCAATACATTTGTATGTCGAGACTTATACTTTTCTTAATATGCCAATATCTCCTGTTTGATAGTTGGCATTGCAAGATAGTCATATAAAACTGCACTTTTCATTTAATTTTTAACTGAAATATTTGAAATTTAGTTTTATTTTGTTATAAATTGTTTTTAATGTGCTTGTTTTCGTCTCATCCCAAGAACACAAGTCCGATGTGATTATATATCGAAAAGAGAATAAGTATGTTACAAGAATGATTTACTTATTCAAACTAAGGCCTATGAAAAGGTGTTTTGAGAATTTATATACCTTATTTCGTTTCGGAAATATAAAATCAAACAACGGTCGATCTGACATCCACAGGGAAGAAGGAACAAACTAAATGTATCAAGTTCTTCTTGACCATGCAGTTAACCGTGACCATGGGACCTGTAAAGGGCCCGATATGTCGGTTTGTTTGAAAAAACAAATATACGTGATTTAAATCCGGAAAAATAATTTCATTTCCTAAACTAAATGTACTTTATCCTGAGAACAAGTAGTCTTGCACTTAGATCTTTGTTCTAAGTATGAATCATTTTCTGTAAGTTAAACCTAAATAAACAATTTTTATTATTATAAATTTACCTCTATCGCCCATAAGCCTTCAAATTAGACATTTATAGAAGCGCTGAAGTGGCACCACTGTTGTGCTGCATCCGCACCATTACTAATTTTCATACAATAATTAGAAGCGTAGCGTAGCGCCGTTGTCGTGACATGCACCCCACACTTCTGCAGTCACATTTAGTGAACAAAAAATTACTGAAGCACTACAGTCACATCACTTCTACAAACGTCTAATTTGAATTGTTATTGAGAAAATTTGGTGAAATTTTTTTTCCAGTATACAAATGTTTCAGTACTCTCAAAAGTTTTGTTTACTTGTTCTAATGTTTAAACTTGGAACACTCATATAATCCCACCAAGTAGCAACCCATGTTCCATAAGAGGATGGTCAGTAAGGATGTAATGTCATATTTACAGCCAAAATTCATCCCCAAATTCATAGAGCATCAACGACAACATGATTATGATCTAGTTTCTGGAACACGGTATCAACGCGATGGTGGAGTATATGGCTGGGATTTTAAGAGAAAGCTCGTGTCCAGAACTGCTAATTTCATCACACAGATGTTGTTGAGACCTGGTGCTTCTGATTTGACAGGGTCGTTCAGGTGAGAAGATTTGTATTTTAAATTAGTTTTAAATTGCAAAAAAGCTGCTAAGTAACATTTTGACTTTTTCTTTTTGTAATGCCTAAATGGTAGTTTTTGTACATTTCTACAAATGATTTATCCACCCGGAACAGCAACCGCTAAAGCCGCCTTAAACACAATGCAACAAGTCCATTGAATAAAACTAGGCGAAATTAGAATGAAAATTGATTAGACTTTTCAGTATTTGTTCTGAAGCTCTTCAACCAACAGTGTTGAAACTTTAAAAAAATTATTATTATTTCAAACCATTCCCGATTATTATTATTAATGTTAGGGTGACTTTTCAGAGCCTATGCAGCCTTATAAACATAGGTGCAAACAGAAATTTGATCTTATGATTTCATCTCGGCGCCATGACCTGGCAGAAGAAATATGTTTCTCAGCCATATTTTTCTGATAAGCTTTATGAAAAAAACAAACTGTAAAGCGCAAATAATATAGCATCATGGCCCTGTAACAATAAGCTGAATTTTCTATATAATAACATTAATCATTCTGCATTATTGCAAAATAAATATTTTATTTTTACACAAAAATTGTTAAGTTTTGATATCTGATATTTTTCTTTTCTTATTTATTAGGACGCAATTATATTATGCACTTTTTAATTTTAATTATTGTGATTAAAATTTTTGTATTACCACAATGTGGTCTGTGTGTATTACTTTTAATATATTACATAATTGTAATAATTAATGAGAAAGCATACAAAATTTTTAATTAATTATTTTATATTCATTTAAGTCCTTGCTGTGCTTGAATGTTGTAACACCATTGTTAATCCACATGAAACAATAAATAAATGAATTCTGTATCAATCTATGATTAATTTTTCAGGTTATACAAGAAGGATATATTACAAAAACTTGTTGACAGCTGTGTGTCCAAAGGATATGTCTTCCAGATGGAAATGATTATTAGGTAAGAATTTTTCATAGCCCTAATATGTTATATTTCATTATATAAGATTTTGTATCTCATTATATGAGTAAATATACACAAACTCACATGGTTTTGGTCAGTCTATTTGATATTTTATTTCTCTTATTTTTTCGTTAAATTTAATTTATCTTCCCCTATTATATGTATAATATTGAATTATTAAATAATATTGAATAATAGTTTTTCAAATTTTATTATTGAATTAGACCCTTATTATTTATTGTTTTAAGCCTGCTTAAGATCTTAGGGACAAGGAGATGGCTGAAACACAGCACTGTCTGCGACAACAACTGTTCCAGGCAGCACAAGCTGAGACACCTCCTTTTGCCCTCTGACATGCATGGCATTGTCTGACATGTCTGCACCGTTTATTGTTTTTTTTTGTCGTAACATGTTATTTATATTTATTATATATTGATTCGATAATCTATTCGAAAGTGTCATTGCAACAAAAAAAAAATTTGTATTTGTACCTATTTGAATTTTCGTATTTATGTTTCAGAGCCAGGCAACTTGACTACACCATAGGCGAAGTGCCAATAACATTTGTGGATCGAGTGTATGGGGAGTCAAAACTCGGCGGTTCAGAAATATTCCAATTCGCTAAAGCATTATTGTACTTATTTGCTACTACATAAATTCTTTGAGGGTATTTTTGTATCTTAACATTCCTTGTTATAATAATATATTATATGTTTTAAGCAACAATGAATTTAAGGTTAATTTCAACTTAAGCCTGACCATATATTGTAAGTTGAAACTAATACTGTTACTAATCGAAAAACTTAACTTTCGGGAAAAAACTGTAATATTTCTTAGTGTTCGATCTTTGTTATTAATAATTATAACAAACTAGTGGACATATTTCACTTAAAAATAATTGATTTTTTTTCCTAATGAGTGGCTTGTGAGACTACTTAGGTTCGTATTCTAGAACTCTACTCAATGCTCAAGTCAGGATCTGAGTATGATTTCAAGCACTGGAAATACGACCCTAATGGCAAGGACTTGAGTATGATTTCTAGTGCTTTAAATCATACTCAGATCCTGACTTGAGCATTGAGTAGAGTTTTGGAATACGACCCTAAGTCTCAATTCTGCCAGTGTCCGTTTTCTAGTTTCATAAACGTTATGGAGGGTGTGTTAGAATTTTGTTCGGAATAATTGAATAATAATATCATGGTAGTCAAACATCGTGACATTCAACATCGAGTATATACTCAGAAATAAAAACGAAATGTCATTTAATTTGTTTAAAAACTATTCTGCCAAATCATTATTGTGGCAACTGAGCTCCGATTGGCCAGCCCGAATTCGAAACAATTTACGGGTGTCAATTCAACCAGTTTAACTTGAGCTTTGCTATAGTCTATATAATATAATGACGAAAATTAAAAATTACATATTTATTATTTAATTACCGATGAAATATGATTCCGTTTGTTTTGTAATTAGATGTTTTGCTGTTTTTCCCACACCATCGAATCGAACAGCCCCATTGTTAGAGATATTATCTTTATTATTACAATAAATATAAATAATATTTTTTGGAATTTACGGAGACGTACACACAGGTTAGCTGTTGGCGCTGTACTATTTCAGTTTTCTAATTTATGATATCAGCGCAAACGAGAGTTGATATTTAAAAGTGATATAAGGCCCATTTACCTGATGAGTTGCCGGGGATATATGGCCCTTATTTTGTCTCTATTTCTGGTTATATACTCGATGCTTAAAAATTACAATTATAGCGACATCTCTAGTCAGCGATGGTAGCTGTAAAGGTACCTCTCTGAGTGAAGAAATAAATTTCCTAAAATTTTTAAAACCCAAAAACAAAGATCTGCAAGAAGCACAGAAAAATTCATAAGGTCCGCTAGTTCGTTTCGTGGGTTAATTGGCAGAGCATCTGGCATGGATTTCCTGAGGGTGGTGGTTCGAATCCAGCCGGAATAAGTGAATTTTTCTAAGTGTTCTATCTTTGTTATTAATAATTATAACTTTATAATAAACAGGTGGAGTAATTTCACTAAAAATAATTTGACGCAGTTAAACAAAAAGGATCGGAAGAGGAAGAAGAGGAAGGAAAGTTTGAGAAAGTAAGGTGACGATAAGGCAGTTTGAAGTCTAAGTGTTTCTCACTTTTGTTTTCACTTCACTTTTTATTTTTTATGGCTCCATGATTAAATGAAATCATGATTTTGCCAATGTTACAGTCGAAAGTACAAAAAAACGACCATTCAGTTCTGTTGAGACAATAACCGATGTTGATGGGTTGGTCCGCAGAAATACTCAGGTGAGAATCTAAAACAAAAAACATCACAAACAATCGCAACGAATGAACGGCGAAATGAGGCCGCCACACCACACTACAATACTCTAATGTGCTACGAACTAGACTTTGGTACAATAGTATTTTTGTTTTAACATTTTTAAAATCCTTGGTGTTTCTCATACATAACAAATCCTAACATTCTAAACGCACGCTTAATTACATTTTCTATATGTGGGACAAAAGTTAACTTTTTATCATACAAAACTCCGAGGTCTCTAACTTTATCACATTCTTGAACTAAATGGTTGCCAATGTAGTATTTAGAGGGAATAATATTAAATTTGCGACAAAATTTTACAAAAAAACATTTAGCAGAGTTAAGCTTCATACCGTTAACTCTACACCATACAACTAGCCGGTTCAGGTCTTCTTGAAGCAGCTGTACATCGTTTATAGAGTTTATTACCCTGGCAAATTTGAGATCATCAGCGTACATAAATAACTTCGAAAACCTAAAGCAGTCAGGTATATCATTTATAAAGATATTAAATAATAGGGGACCCAAATGCGATCCCTGTGGAACACCTGATGCTACGTTTCTAGGCCCTGATTGATAGCCGTTAATTACTACACAAAAAGATCGATCCGTTAAATAGGACATGAGCCAATCAAGAAACTTCCCCGAGAAGCCATATGCATATAACTTTTTAAAAAGTATTTTGTGCGGCACGCAGTCGAAAGCTTTGCTGAAGTCTGTGTACAGTACATCCAATTCCTTCCCTGAGTCTAAAGCTTCGACCAGATTTTCATTAAATGTGACTAGATTGGTGCAAGTAGAACGGGCACTAACAAAACCGTGTTGAAAGTTGCTAAGATAAAAATTAAAATGTCTACGAATATGCGTGCAAAGAAGAGATTCCAAAATCTTGGCAAATGTACACAAAATCGATATTGGTCTATAATTCGTTGTTAGGCTATTATCACCCGACTTGTAAATAGGAACGACTTTAGCTCTTTTCCAAATATAAGGGAGCACACCAGTAGCTAAAGATTTATTGTATATTAAATAAAGAGGTTGGGCCAACTGCGACGCACAAGAAGTAATAAACAGAGGTGTTATTCCATCGGGCCCGGCTCCCTTATTTTTTTCTAGTGTTTTCAGAGTTCTTTCAATAGTTTCTAGTTCTATTAATGGTACATGAAAACCCTGACTATTTATTTCCATGAATTTTAGAGATGACGATTCCTCTATACAGCAATTTCCCCCCAAAATATTGCCACCAGTAAAATCACAAGTACTAGAAAAATTAGACGCAAATAATTCACAGACTTCAGCAACATCAGATGTTTTATAAGAACCATCAGTCATAGAAATGGGGTATGTACTAGATCCACCACGCTTAGCTTTTACATGTGCCCAAAACAATTTGGGATTCGCTCTCAATTGACTCTCCAACCTTTCTAAATGCTTTTTATGACATTCTCTAGAGATACTTGTACATCGTTCAGTGAGTAATTGTAGTTCAAATTCATCTCTCGGATTGTTATATAATTTAAACCTTTGTCTGATTTTATTACGTTCCTTTAAGATCTTAATCAAGTTTCCACTGAACCATGGTGGATATTTACTACATTTCAATCTAGCAATTGGCACATAATCACTAATTAGTGCGTTCAATTTGTCGTAAAATACATTTACCATATCATCAATGTTAAGATTCTGAAATAATATATGCCAGTCTATACTTTCAAGACTTTCACGAAGAGATTCGTAATTCGCTTTATGGAAACTATATTTCACACCTGATGGGTTATACGGTAAGTTGCTAGAATTTGCGAACTCGAGATGTATTTCTAATGGGGGATGATACTGATCGACTTTACTCAGTGGAGACATTGATTTGATAACAATACAAACAGGTATATCAGATAGAACAAGATCAAGTAATTTGCCAGTATGATTAAGTACGTTATTTACTTGACGTAATTTATTAACATAGGTGAAATCAATTAGAGACTGACAGACATAATTGAGTTTACGTTGTGGGTCACCAAGCAAGCTCCAGTCGATTGCTCCCAGATTAAAGTCGCCCACCAAACATTTCGGTATATCAATTTTATCGAATAGAGAATTACAATTATTTAGGAAATTGTCTATTAATGCGATATTCACCGGTGGGGGTAGGTAAACTGCGCAGAGAGCTATCTGACGAACACTTTTGCCACTATGAGCAGGTACATCAATGACTACCCATAGATCCTCGCATCTACTCTCCCATTGCGTCATACGCCTCGAATGAATATTTTTTTTTAATGCAATGAGTGTGCCTCCGCCGCTTTTCAAATTATGGAAACCAGTACTTTCCCTATCCCTTCGGTAAACAACATACCTTTCGTCAAATAGCTCACTACTCAAGATGTTACCATCAAGCCAAGTTTCAGTTAAAACTATGATGTCATAATTACATAGGCTTACTTCACGGTGGAAATTTGTAGTTTTCGTTCTTAAGCCTCGAACATTTTGATAAAAAACATTTAAAGAGAACATGATGCATAAAAAAGTCCAAACACAAACGCAACAATAACCAAGTTATATAAATAAAATTAAGCTATTCTCGACAAGGAATCCTTATTCCTGATTAAAATGTAATTTGAACCAACGTCTTTTCTGACGAAGATTTTGCCACTTCTTATCCAAACAAATTTATAACCAGCTTCTTTAGCCTTTTGTCTAACAGTAGCATGCAGGGCTTTATTGGTAGGTGACAGGTGTTCGCAGACGAAAATCGCTACCTTATTACCGGAAAGACCCAAATGAGAGCTATTTAGTTTATCATTAAAGTTGGCTTTGTTGAATTTTGCCACAGACGCTATAAACTTGTCACGCAATCTAGGCGAGGCAAGCTGTACCACAATGGATCTCGGACGGGGACTGTCTTGTTTAAGCTTGGCTATTCTTGTACAGTTCATTATATCTGACTGATTCAAACTGCAATCTACCACCTTACTCAAATTCATAACAATATCCAATAAGTTTTCCTGCTTACTCTCCGGCACACATTGAATTTCAATATTGTTAGAACGTGCCTGTTGTTCGAGTTGTTCTACTTTCAACTTTAGGTCATTTACGGTAACTTTCAACATATTGTTGTCATCCTGAACGACCTTCACAGCCTCCTTCACAGTGACATGCTCTCTCAAAAGTTCATCATATTTGCAGCTTAAAAAATCCATTGAATCTCGCATTTTGTTCATTTCAGTCTCCAGGGGTTTCAGCTTCCTATCCAAACTTTGAGAAACCATGTCACTGAACTTCTCCACCAATCTGTCAAATTCAGAACTAAGTGCATCCTTTATAATAACATGCACATCTTTTTTGGTAACCGCTGTTGCATCAGTATCAGGTTCTGTAATCTCAGGTGAATTGAACGCTGGTCTCTTACTTCCTCTTGAAGTTGTTACACTTCGCACAGGAGTATCATCATTTTTAGTGGGATTTTTATGCGGTTTGCACATTAAACATTTCCACAGCGATGCGGATTTAGATGAAAAAGAGCTTTCATCTTCAGCAATACATGCGAAATGGTAATTCTGGTTACATCCACTACATCTAATAAAGCTCATCTTATCGTTATCGTTACCATAGGGGCAACAACCCCATTTATATTCACTCATTATCCACAAAATGAAATACCAACAGCAGCAAAATGTTATTGAACCGAATTCCCGTAGGCAGTATAGAACAATCTCCAATGTGTACGCTCTGTTATATTTATCTTTGGATAACTTACAAACCTAGTAGGCATCCACAGCGTCAATTTTAACCACTACCTTCATCCGAACACGATCGATAATATCACTGCGCAAACCTCGCGACTAAAAGGTCTTAAGCGCCGTGAAATCCGCGTCGCTTACGCGTTCTCGTCAACACTGCGAGTCTATGATGCACTTAATGGTGTTTTCTTATGTTATGGGGTATAGTGATTACTTTCCTTTGAATTTACACACTTCACTATGTTTACTATGGTTAATATCAACTAGTTGGAAATTTTCAAATAGAAATACTAGCTTTAACTGGCTTAAATAATTTTACAAATAGGAAGACAATTAATTACGCGTAACTTTGACTGACATTATTATATTAATTGTACCTATAGGCTGCAAAACAATAGTAGAGCAGTATAGCTCCTTGTGAAAGAGTTAGTCCAGGGAAGTACTGACATTTCCGCCGCTAAGCAGTAATGCGAGCATTACTGCGTTCCAGTTTCGGAGGGTAAGGGTGCTGGTGAAATTACAGGCACACGGGACTTGTCAACTTGTGTCACAGGGTGACAGGCGCAGTGGCAGTGCCCCTCAGATCTTTGTGCTATGGACTAAACGAGTGACGGCGACTTTTAGCAACGATGCAAACGCGCGACTACATCGATACAAACGAGCGATTGCATCGCTATATACACTTGTGATTTAAAAGCGATTGTATCGATGCAGTCGCGTGTTTGCATCGATACGAACGCAAATGTAGCTGATAAAAAT